GTTTTCAGGAAAAGCCACTTTTGTGTTGGAGTGCTTTTGAAATCAGTGTGTGTGTGTGTGTGTCTTGTTAAAGGATAACCTTCTCTCGTCACCTCCCCTCTCCTGTGCATTAGAGGAAAAGTGTGTGTAGCCTATAGGCAGTGTCTGCGTATCGGGGGAATGTGGCGTGTGTGTGACCGCACTCTGATAGCGTGTCAGAGTGAATTAGCCTCTGTGTGGCGTCCGCCTGGCACACACCGCTGCCTGCCCTCTGCCCACCACCCCGCATATGTGCCCAAGATTAGAATTAATAACCAACGCTGCCAATCATGCTTTAATCACAATAACTCTGCATTTAGGGGGCGCAGGGAGGTCACAGGCATCTGGGCCCCAGGATGGCCAATCTGGAGCAGCTAATAAGGCGAGTCTGCACAAGTGTGTGTCCCTAGTGGTGGCAGCTGCTCAGGTTAGGCACTCAGAATGACAGGAGTATCACGTGATTCGTGACGTGCTGGGAACTACAGACAAGATACTGCAGGTTCAACCCAGTCTCACGGCATTTCGTGTTATAGTCACGACATTTAATCTATTGATTCGTGTTCACCAACACTATTTTCCCATTTTTTTTGTGTCGCACAGAACGATTTTAAAAGCAATGTATTTCTATTGGTAGTATGTTTCGTGCCTGCAGCACGTCTTTTTGTCCGTTCGGGTCTTGGAAGACCGGAAGCTGTGGGGTTCATAAAAACATGTTCTTACTCAATATCAAGCCACGAATATTGTTTTTATTTTAAATCGTATAATGTCGGACTTCTTTTGTCGTCTGTGAGGAAAATAAATGGGGCTCAGAGCCTCAGAATATATAATTTCCTTCTAATTTGTTATTCTTTTCTAAATAACACACTGTTATTTACTCAACAATAACACAATTATCCTTGTTTTTATTTATTTGTTTAATTCAATAATCTCTGGCTTTTTTGGCATCCATCAGGAACTGATGTCTAAATAAAAATAACCGGAAACAGACGTAGGCCTATAAGGGACATTTCGAGCATCATTGCGATACACAGCCACTGAACTGATTACCCAAGATCCTCAGCTATGGTTTAAGCTCGCTGTTTGGATGTTTTAGCCGCAATGCACGTTGGGATATGGTGTTAATGAAATCCGAAAAACATTTAAAAAAAATAAAATACTTAATTCCGAGTGTTCTTGCTTTTCTCTTTGAAAGTCATCACATAACGGCATTGTAATACACGGTTCGGCTGCATTACATATTACAGATCTGCCGTAGTTCTTTATTTATAGAGCCCTGATGAGAAGACCTTTGGACAAACTGGAAGAAATGCTGCCGAAACTGAATACTTGACGTGGATCATAAATATATCAGCAATTAAACAACATCTTCAATTTCTCTTCACACAGTACGTCTAAAAACAATAATCGTGGCTTGATATTGAGTAAGGAGATGTTTTTATCAACCCCACAGCTTCCGGTCTTCCAGACCCGACCGGACAAAAAGACGTGTTGCAGGCACGAAACATACTACCAATAGAAATATATTGCTTTTAAAATCGTTCTGTGTGACACGAAAAAAAAAAAGGGAAAATTGTGTTGGTGAACACGAATCAATAGATTAAATGTCGTGACTATAACATGACATGCCGTGAGACTGGGTTGGCAGGTTAGTCAGTGTGTAGTTTATATGTGTTTCTGTGTACTGAATCTACGGGGAAGTCAGAATATACACCATAAAGAATGAGTTGGTCTTGGTAAGAGTCAATGTCCATTATATTGCACATAATGTACCACTATGTATCATAAATCCGAAAAAAAAGTCCCATCAGCCCTGGCTGTAGGCCTATTCTCTATTGTGTTAATTAGCCAATGTTAGCATCACAACACTAACCTAGAAATCTGAGCATGATAAACGTATGTATACGTATCATTAGCACATAAGCATTGCCATTGTGAGCATGTTAGCTTTAGCATTCAGCTCTAACCAACACTGTGCCTTAGTAAAGCCTTACAAAGATGCTAGCATGGCTGTCCACTCTTGAGCTGCATTCACATGATACGCAATTTTCCCACAGCGAGGTTGGGTGCAGAGCCTTGTGGTGAAAACAGCTAGTTAGTTTAATTTCTTGCTAGCTTTTAGCGCTACATAGAGCTGTCATCTGAATGTGTTAGCGTCGTAAAGTACGCTGTATGTAAGTAAGTAATCTTTTCAAAATGTAACGGGGAGAGGTAGCAAAAAACCTAAATAATGCGATTGATACATGTAAATATGATTGAAACATTTTTTTATATTTACAGGAACTGTTGCTAAAACCAAGCAGCGCATAAACATCGGAATTAAAAAAATTGCTTTAAAAGATTAAATGAAATTAAATAAAATGTATTAAAATAAATGTGAATCTTTAAAATGTCTGCAAACTCCCCCTCCCACCTAATCCCTCAGTTGTTCTCTCCCTACAGTAGCTCAAAGGTGCACCATATTGTAGTTGTCACGTTCCACTGCTTCTTTAATACACAGACACACATCCTCTAATTGCAATCAAAACAACAAAACAACATATGTCAGGCCCTCGGAGACTGGCAGCAGCGTGTCCTGCAGGCTCCACAAATGATGAGTGATGCTTAACAAATGAACACTAGATTGGCTACATAAATTAGCCACTCTGTATAGGCACCATTTAACGACAGAAGCCATGCAATCACATCAATCAGAGCTGTGAGTGAAGGATAGCTGAGTGATGGGATGAATGGAGAAAAACTAAACAAAAAACAGAGAATAGAATATTAAGGCAGTGTGAACTAGAAATGTATAAATGTAATTAAGGATACGTGATGGAAATCTGGAAGAACCAGATTGAGGTTAGGGTTAACCCTAACCCTCAGATCTGTCAACTTTGTTACACCTATGGGCTGAAGTCGAATAGTCCATTTAGCCTAGGAGTGAAATGACCCGGACGTCCCTGGCCGTTTCTCAATCTCGAGGATACTGGCTTCCAAGCCAATATTTCAAGGATGCTACGTCATTGAGTGCCGCCGAAGGACTGTTCCAATCTCCAGCATACTTGGAATTCCACCGAGGCCTCGTCTTTGGTTAGGGGGAAATTTCGAGGCTGCACATGGGTAGACTTTGCGTCCTTAAAATCCCCACAATGCTTTGCGCACGGACCAATTTCCACAAATCTGTGGCGGAAAACGTAAGACGGGGCCTCTCATATGACGCACACCTGCACACTTGCTAGCCTGTTCCACTCTTCGTTTTCCGAATGCCAGGAAGGATTCTTGCCTAGCTTCTGAAGGAAGTGACTCGGAAGACATGTGCTACCAAGCAAGCATACTCGCGATTGAGAAACGGCCCCTCAGTGGCAGCCATGATAAGTGCCGTTCGAATTCTCTAGATCAGGGGTTCCCAACCTTTATTGTGCCAAGGACCGGCAGATACATTAAAAAAAGAATCGCTGACCGGTTGTCAATTTTAACTGATTTTAATATTTACTCACCACCAGCAGCAACAGAGGCTAATTGTATGTAACAGCCTGAACAAATACTAGAACAATATGCATCCAAAACATATTAACAACGTTTAAAAAAGAACCGGTGTCATTTTTTGGTTTTTCGGAAAAACGGAAAACCAAAAAAACCGACGTTATTCAGTTTTTAAACCAAAACGGGAAAACAGATAAATCAACGTTTTGGTTTTGTTTATATGATTTACGGATAATCCAGTGATGGAAAAACGAGAAGGCGCATTATGAAGGAGGTGTGTGTGTGTGTGTGTGTGTGTGTGTGAGTGTGTGTGACACTGGCATTTGTTTTCAGAAGATATTGTGATAGTGACGTTCGTTCCGGTGCACGTCCGACAGCATTTAGCACTACATCGAGATTAAATAATTTATTTTGGGAACACCCGCATATAGGCTACCTATGGAGTTAGCCAGATGTGTGTAAATTACTGTTCATGGTCATTTGAAAACAAATGCCAGTGTCGGACAGACACAAACACAGCTGAGCTGAGCAGAGCACACACACACATCATGCGCCTTGGTGACTGGACATCTCCTTCATAAAACTAATAAAAGGGGGAGTAATCGGGCAGTTCGATGTGTGTAGAGGTGTGTGTGGTTAACACGTAGCAGCCTGCAGTCACTCGCTGTTCTGATGAAGGTAAACACAGCGAAGGCGGTGCGTAAAAAGGTACAGCTCTCGGCACGCTGGTGCTGCACTTCTCAGAAGCGGAGTTACACGTCCCGCTGCCTCCTGATGCTGCAGACATTTCATGAAGTGAAGGAGGTTTTCCTTCTATAAAACAGCTGCGGGCAGCAGATACCGTGAGAGTCCCGGACAGGAATTCATAGATCAAGACAGACTGGTTTACTCTCCTGTTTTGCTAATCCGGTGCTTAAACTCAGTTTAAATCAGTCATTAAAAAGAAAAGCTAATAAAATAAACATATAGCTATACACCCCTGGCCGACATGTCCTTAAAATGAAGTCCGAGTTTGAAATATATCTCAAATAATGTATGCACTGCCATTTCCCCACATAAACATAACAGTCTGCAATTAAACGGTTGTCTCCTGTGCGCTCCTCTTCCTACTTGGCACACCGGTAATTTTCTCGTGCGCACAAGAGGCTGAGACCAGGCTGAGCCGCCGAATCCCTCGGAACATCATAAAAGCCATTTTCAATGGTTATCTGGTGAAAGATTAACTAGGCTACTGGATGAAATAATATGACTGGTATAGGTGCGAACATTAAACACTTTTTGAAAAAAATATGATAAAATATTTTTATATATTTATAATTCTGCAAATATTACAATAAACTCACAGCTATTTTGCGGCCCTGCAGTAACACGGTCCGGGGGGTTGGGAACCCTGCTCTAGATGATAGTGTGACGGTGTGGTGTAGTTAAGGGTTTGTGTTGCCAACAACGCCACCTAAGGGAGTTTCACCCCTAGGAACTAACTATTGATTATAAAAGATTTACCACACAAGGAACACAGGTTCGTTTTACATAACGGGCCAGAGACAGTTACCACATTTACTTTATAACAATCAATTAACTATTCTAAAAACACCAGATCCACATAATACAATCAGCTAAAAGTTCATACTGGGGCATAGGAGGTACAAGACAGGGCTGGGGCTTACCAGGCAGCAATAAATAAATAGGGGGGAAGGGTCAAACTCAAAAGCACCCGTGACACCGCTCATCAAACAATAGGACTTGTGAAGACCACCACCACCACCAGGGACTGGGGTTGCCGCCTCAGGCCCACAGCACCTGTCTGACAAGATGAAGACGGTTAAAACCTCCACACAGTATTACACTCAAATAAACAACTAAATAAATAACCAAACAAAACCAAATGAATGACGGGATCCAAATAAAGTCGGTGCACCATGGTTAATATAAAATAAGAAAAACACTAGTATATAAACTAAATTAACAAAAGAAAATAACAAAACCAAAATAACAGTTTCTCAAAGTAAACAGTGAGTTGTATCAGGGAGACTTGGTTGGCGAGTTCCCTGAGAGCCCGAACCGCTCCAGAGTCCCGAAGGGGGGGCACGTCACCAGACACGGGGCTCGCTACGCAACGGCAAGTTATTCCAAAGAGCCAAAACAGCAGGACCAGTTGTCCGAAGGTGGGCCTAGCAATTAATAGCACCCCTGAAAAGGGCACAGGTACATATAATATTATTTAGAGGCCAATTAAACACATGGATATCAATAACTGAATTTACAGGTTCCCATACATACAATCCATTCAGCCACAGCATCCGAGCCGTCAGGGGAGAGAGGCGCACAGGCCATGGCAAAATCCCGCTGCCGCAATAAATAATATAAAATAAGCCAGGAGCCAAGTGTCAGATGATAAAGGTAGGCAACGGCAACTCACCAGGTGATAACAACACTGCGCCCAGGGGAGTCCTCAGCGGAGCAATTTCTCCGCCACTGCACCGGCAGTCAGATGCGCTGTCCAGATGCGAGTGTTGAGAAACGGCTGCCAAGACAAACAATTCATTCGGGCCACGCCGTGCTCCAGCCACCAGCGAAGGGGTTGACAGGTAAGTCACGAGCTACGCCACACCCCTGTATTTATACTTCCTGCACGCCCAGCAGTGACAAATGCGGAGGCGCATGGCACAGTGCCGTGCAGCGGTACGGAGGGAGAAAACCTCCTGTCACATCCACCCCCAGCTTTTGCATCATCGACCCGATGATGGATTTCAAAAAGGGTGGAATCAACACCAAGGCCTGTGTCACAATAGGAAAAGGAGGTTTCAAACTTCCTTTATAACCTCCTTTTAGGAACCACTGGACCTCCCTTGACGAAAGGAGAGGAGAAAATGCTGCCCCACAATGCCTTGCAGCCGCAGAATTTGCCGTCACACAACAGTCGGCCATTCACGGAAACAACCGATTATGACAGAGAAATGATATCATGAAAGTTATGGTGCTTATTAAGCATTTTATAACGTATGTGGTAAGTTGCCAAAGTGCTTTGTTCTGAACGTTCATCAGTATTATAATCAAAAAGAGAAATATGAACGTTAGTTTTGACTGAAATGATCAAATAAAGTCAACATTTCACAGTCTTTATTGAGCTGTGTTGGGTTTGTTCAACTTTTAAAAGATGTTTGAATGGTGATGTACACAGTGATAGGTGTTAAGGACTAACGTTTATACATTTGTATTGATTTTAAGATCTTTTCATAGTTCATACAATCATACGTATTGGGATCATCAATCATTCATTCTATTCCAACTTTGGTCATGAAGAATATGTTTCTCTGTTGTCCACGTTCATAAAGCAAAGCAACAGCATCAGAGCACGGTGCAGAGTCTCTAGATGAGTTTACAGTAGTCCATCGCTCTTATTATACATCCATGTTGTAGTCTGCTGTATAGAAAACTGTAGTTTCCATAGTTTCCCCACAGCAGCAGACGCACATTTATGACGTCCGCTGGCGCATCATAAACATGTCAGATAGTGAAAGTGCATTCGGATTCTCTAAAGTACCGCAGTCTCTTCTCCTCAGTCCTTTTGAATTCTCCTATCCACTATCCCTTAACCCCATGACGTTTCACTCAGAGGTCAAGGAATAGACGATAGGGTTAGACGTTAGGAGCTGATTTTTGGATTATCCGACCGCAACCCTATGGTGTTCCCGATCCAAAATGGCCACCATAGGAAATGGTTAGGGTTAAGAAAACGGGTAACCCTAGATTATGTTAATCATCAAATAGTACACACCCACAAATCGACAACCATGTTAATTCAACACATCCTCACTCCCAGGTCGGCCTATGTTGACATGTTTCCAACCCAAGGGGGGGCCCTTAGCGTACATTTTCAACTTTCCGGGATGTCCATAGGCTTCTAGCTCCCTAAACGTATGTTGTAGACGACTTGAGATCGCGAGCGAATGCTACCCGCAGATCCATTCTCACAGCGTTTATCAACCTTTGTCTTACTCAATATCAAGCCACACTTATTGTTTTTACTTCTTTATTTTAATTGAATAATGTAGGACTTTTGTTGCCGTCAGTTATGGGGAGAGTAGGGGCTCAGAAAACTGAAATCTGTATTGTTTCATCGTTTTTTCCATCCAATTTTGTATTATTTTCTAAACCACACACTGTTATTTACTCAACAATAACACACAATTATCCTTGTGTTTATTTATTTGCTTGATTAATAAACACAAGTTGGAGTCCGTCAGGACCGAGGGTCGGAGCAGCTCATTTGCTTTAGAGAATTTTACACCCGGAAGTAAGTATTCTCTCCGCTTCGCTTGACAAACCCCGTGATAGTCCTCAAGCTCTGTAATTGGAGAGTGTGCTCCGAGGGTTACGCCGAGCGTCAAACAGTACTTGAAATGGGATGGAATCACGGCAGACTGTCGTCCACCCCGTCCCCCCCTCCCCCACCCCGTCTCCAGAACTACACATGCTGGCTATTGTGTTTCGCAACATGTTCTCTATCTATGGCACGTCTCTACTGGGAGTTGTAGTTTTAAAAGACGTTTTCGTATTTCCCATAATAAGAAGTTGCCAGTATTAAACTGTGTACATCCCTGGAGGTTTAGGGGATAGGAAACACTCAAATTTAAAACATAATTAATAAATGGGTGAAAATGGCTTGTGTCCATAATGGGCAGCATTAATATATACCCACATGACAGCTAAGGTCAGAAGAGCTTTATTTAACAGCTGGTCTTATGTCTGTGACCCCTCCTGTTGTTAATTGATAAGCCTGAATCATACACTTGTCAAGGTTCAGAGGCACATTTTGCAAATATGGCAGTAGCCATCGATCATCATATACTTTATTGATCCCAAGTTGGAAACATTTGCGTTACATCAGCATGTGTAACAGTTGTAAATATGCAGTGGTGTTTATTTGTAAATCATTTAGTATAATGACACAAATTCTGTGTTTTATATTTATGTGTTGGTTAATTTGGAATATATTTTCAGGGTCTATTTTTTGTTTATTCACTGCAGTCATTCATGTTAACCAGTTGTACGAGACATTATTTAAACTTTAAAAGGGCTTAAAATAAAATATGTTGCTGATGAATGGTTGTGTTAATGTTAGTGCCATTAAAACAGACCGTTCAAATTTGACCTGGAACACCAAAGTGTGAGGGGAGAAATAAACATGACAGGAGGGTTAAAACTGCATTATTAATATATAGTATATTCATAATTGAATGTATTTTAAGACCTATAAGTGTGTCTGCAGCTCAAATTAAGAATATCAAATGTATATTTATCACGAAAAACAAGACTTCATATCATGTGAAAATGTTAACTTTAAACTGCCATTGACAACCACATGAGGCCAGGCACGTTCCTGCAGGAGGACAGTGGTTCAGACCTGACGCCGGATCAGGGGGTCCTTGGTTCCTACGATGGGTCTGAGGATCCCCTTACCTAACAGCAGTCAGTGTACCATTAGCTAGCACGTGGATGTTTGTGTGACCTTCCAAATATATGTTTTCCAGACCATCACTGACCTCCAATGGTCATGCCAAATAATTGTGCAGGTATAATGTTCGCCACAGCGTCTACACACTCAGGGGAGATTGCCAACACCCATCATTGCCTTTTTTTTGGAGTCGTCTTGCTGTTGCCTCTTCTGTCCACCTGCTTTTTCATTTGCATTAAAACAGAATGTACTTGAATCACATTCAGTTATTCTTCCTAACTGGAATGGTTGAGAAGTTTAATTGACTGGGTGTTTTACTGTGATAATTGAGTGTTCCATTCATTTTTTGGAGCAGTGTATTTTCACCTGTGTATCTCACTTCTCACATGGGTGTGTGATGCGACTACATCATGGCAGGTGTATTGGAAGTGCAGTGTGGAGTTTGAAGACGTTTGTATGAGTGGTCCTTAAAGCAGCAGGTTTTATACTAGCACTGAATATAAACTTGTGAAAAAAAAGACACTTCTATTCTCATCCTCTTAATTACAATGTATTTATTTTTCTGCACATTTATTAACATTAATTCTTAAAGATTGAAATGACCTTAATACAAATCAACATTTCATTTTTATAAACAGCAATATCCAAGAGTACATAGTCTTGAAAGACTGATGAGCCATAATATGACAACACATAAAAACAGGTTATAATAACATTAACATACTTTTAACAAAGCAATTGAACACATAAAACCGATGCATCAAAAGAAGGTCAATCCAATCCTGGCTGAAACCTGATTAAAATCCGTAAAATGATTTCAAGGTTATTCCTTGATGAGTTTAACTATACTCTGTAGAACTTTTTACATGTCAGTCGAGAGTGACACATTACACAATTCAATACAGGACGTCAAGCAGCGACATTGTTTACATGAACAATATTGAGTCGGGTGCGAGCCTGATGAAGCCTTTGTTTTTGGACACTATGGCGAACCCCGTAACCAAAATAGATGATGAGTCCTGAGGAAAGAGTTGTGAAGGCCTTTTAATGTTTATTCAATGACAGCGGTGCTTGAGATTTTTCGACCATCTACAAATGATTCATAGAATAAAAACATTAAACATCGAGCTTATGAAACTAGGAAGTGCTTACCTATTACCATCCAGACTGCATAGCTGATCCACGTTTCCCCTCCCAACTGAACCATCAAGTAGGTATTGATGAGGACACTTAAAACTGGAACAACAGGTAGACCGGGAACCTATAAAAAGAGAACAACTTATGACTTATGATGTTCAAGCAATAGTTTGAAATGATGCTTTGACATGAGTTAGCTTTATGCAGCAGAGATTGCAGCAGGTTAGCTTAGCATAGCACAAAGACAAGGGTTGTGATCGAATAGTCTTGTTTGCTTAGGGAGGTTCCTAACTGAGCGAAATTATGCATTTAAAGTGTAATAAGAATTCATAAAATTGTTTCATACAATCATCCTATTTGTGATTCATGTCCATTATTACGAGTGGACAGGAAAGTGAGTGGAAGTTGTTTTTGAACTATTTGTTTGTTGTGGTTAAATTGTTGAATTTGCTCAGGAAGGTTCCTAACAGAGTGAAATGACCTGGAAGTACCCACGTGGCACTCATAAGAGCTGTTCTCTGGATGGAAATAGGTAAGGACTTGTTAGTTTTCTTTATTACATAGCTTAGAATCAGTGGCGAACCGTGTCTATCACAACTGGACCTTCTGTAGACACACACACACCCCCCGCCGCCGCTCAACTGGTCAGGCCTCGGGACCCACTTTTTCCTTTATCAATAAATCGCGACCCAACATTTTGAACCACTCAAATCTATTCAACAAAAAATCGTGCTGTAATATATACGCTTTTCAGCATACAATACTAATTAAAGTGAAGTACAGTGCAAATATCCCTTATATCTCTTCACAGAACTAAAGTATGCTTTTAAAAAAGGTTTAATGAGATGATGGAATCAAAGATGAACTGTATAACATAAAAAGTCACACATGCCGAAAACCCAACCCCAGCAGGGGGGTCTGGGGGGATTCTCCCCCAGGAGATTTTTAGAAATACTAACATATAAACTACGTATTCTGGTACACTGAGAAGAAAATAAATACATCTATTACTACCCGACATATTAATAATAATTTATGCCATTGTTTGTTTTTCACTTTATTATGACTGCTTGCTGCTCCTCACAGAGAGAAGAGTAAAGAGGAGATAGTCTGTGTGAATTACTTTAAATTGTGGGTAAGGGTAGATAGCCCCCATTGTTTTGTGACCTGTCAATCATCAGACCGGGGGTCATATTTCATTACGTGTTCATTTTTATCTGAAGTTGTACCCATGGACGTATAAAGAATAGTTCTACCGCAAAGTTATTCTCCGTGGGGACTTCCGGCAACAATCTTGATTCTGATTGGCCAAAAGACTCGAAAAAACATCAGCAAAGATGTTTTATTGAGAAGATGATCACTACGTGACAGAAGTTTTCAAAACCGTTTATGTTCTCCGTTACTTCCAGTCCAACGCCTACTGCATGCACAGCGTTATAAAATCGGGCCTTCAAAAAAAAAAAGAAAAAAAAAATGATTTTATTTTTCAATTTTTTTTTCTTCACTCACATCCCACTCGAAGGGGGTCCGCGACCCACTTTTGGGTCGCGACCCACCAGTTGAGAACCACTGTTCTAGAGTACCCTGGAACCGAGGTAAACTCTGAAAGAATACGCCCATTGCATTCAAATCAATATATGATTGGTTAATCAAACTGTCAGTCCAAACGTACGCTCTCATTCAGTGCAACGGCCAGGGCTATAGAGGATATAGAATACCTTGGTTGAAGGATGTTCTACCCAGAGACCCAGAACAAGATCTGATTGGTTGCTTTCTTTTCTAACACAAAACCACTGAAATGCGTAGTGCATGGTCCGAGAAGGACAAACAAATCAACGTAACACTGTAATATTACAGATCAACAATACGGATACGATTCTCATTTATTCATTTTATATACATTTTATTTATATAATTAAATCGATTTTTTGTTTGTTTTATCTGAGTGCTCCAGGGTATTCTCTGAATACCTTGAAGGCCCTGACGGTTTGCCACTGCTTAGAATACTCTTGACCATCCTTAATGGAAACAACATTCCGCTGTTCGCGTTTTACAACTTATTGACCACGATTGTAAATCACACAACAAGAATGCACAGGGCAAAGTATCTGGATGCACTTTAGAAGACTTATGTATGGAAAATTGTAGTTTTCCCATTGCAGACGCACATCAAAAACCATCATAAATACTGTATGTCCAGTGCAAGAGCAGTAAGACTCCTTAGCACTGCAGTTGTCTTTTCCAAAGTCCTTTTGAATTTTCCTTCACATCTTTCCTGAACCCGTGACCTTTCTTAGGTTAATATTAAAGTGGTTAGGTAAAGACATAGGACCCAATTTCTCTGACAATTCAAGCGCAGCCCAGAAACAAGGGAGGAAACAACTCCGCCCAAATGTAACAATCTGCCTTCCAGCACCTCCAATGTTCATTAATTAACATAAATTGAACTTTCTTTAAAGTTCCCATCATATGCTTTTCCGGTTATTACCCGTCCCCTTGTGTGTTATGAAGGTTTTTCTGCATGTAAACGGTCTGCAGAGTCACAAACCCTAAAAGTACACCCTGTAGCGAGTAAAACTATACGTGTCTATGCTGCCCCAGAACGCCTCGTTTTTTTTCACAGCCTGAGCTAGTGTGTGTGTGAGCTCAGGCTGAGCTCTGCGGTGTCTCGCTGTCTCGCAGACCCCACGCAGCAACCAGGAAACGACACCAGTAATCCACTTCACACTGTCCGCTCCTCAAGCATCAAAGGGCGGAGCAGCGAGCCCCGCAACGTCCCGCCAACACGGCACCCAGACCCCACGCAGCATTCTCATCTGTTTGTCATTACTGGAGTCATTTTCTGGTTGCTAACAAATGCCATTGTAAAACATAATCACTGATGTTCCGCTGTAACGGTGGTTGACTAATCAGAAAATTGAACAATGTAAATCTATTCTAGTATACCTCACAATGGAATTATGATCAGTAGAAATGGCCATGACCTGGGACCTTTCTTTAAAAAAACTAAACAGACATTGTATGTGACAAAACTCTAAATATCTCCGTCTCAAACGGTTTTTTTTTTAAGGGAAGTTCTTGCAGACAATTGTAGTTTTTCTATCACTGGTCATTTAGTTTGGGTTTAAATTGGGTGGTCTTTTGATTGTTTGTATAAAGTATTTTCCATAAACCTTGTGTGCCCTGCAACAGACCTTCAGTAAGGCCCACCATCTGACTCACATGACATCTTCATTGAAACTGTAAAAGGGGCAACTCTTCAAGATGCATGAAATCTAGCCCACCACCATCACCTGTGCACTTTACCATGAAAGAGGCTTTAGAAATGCTCTGTGGCTGTCTCCAGATGATTGCCACAGCGAGGACCAGCATCAGCGAGAGGAAAGACACGATCAGCACGCTCCACAGCTCTCTGTTGCGGAGGGAAAACGCACCCTCGGACAGCAGCAAGCTTAAAACCACCACCAGGAACACTAGAGAGGAATATGAGCAGTCAGAAAATACTTGGAATTTTGTACAGCGTCGACATTTCAAATGGGGGATTACTTACAAATAATGATGGTGATTACGTTGACATTTTTAGAGGTGCGGGGGGTGGCTCGAGAAGGAGGAATAAACAGCCCCATGACAGTAAACGGTTCCCGTCTACGGCTGAAACCAGGGTCCTCCTTGTACCTGGGAGAAATAAACAACTAAGCAACAAGCTTATACATGCTATGGTATATGTTCATTCTTGTATGAAAAAGTTTTGAATATCAAAATATTGGCTTTTCACTGAACACACTACATCCACATTCAGTCATTCGAAGCGTACATACCTTAATATCAGAATACACACTGCAACAAGAGTGTAGGCAAAGATGGTCCCAATTGAACTCAAGTCGACCAGTGCCTTTAGGTCAAATAACAAGACCATGAACGCTGCAAAGAGGACCAACAATGATTGAGTCTTAGGAATAGATGACATCAGGTCATATTAAGGGGACCTACTGTATCATGCAAAATGCACTTTTATACATAAATATGTGTGCCCGGTGTGTCAGGGAATTTTTATATATCTGAGATCCATAATATATGCCTAAAAATAGCATAATAGGAGACCTTAAAGCAAGTTCCAGAATATGTTCAATATCAATGTTGTTTAATGGTGACGTTTGTAAAAGTTATATCTTTCTCCAGTATCAATAACAAATCTAATGTGTGCCCCTTTTGCATGTTGTTGTAAGTATAATTGTAACTTCATTACCAGCCGCTGCTCCTGAAGTCATCGTGGCAAAGACGGGACTCTGCCTGGAGCTCATGTAGTGAAGAGGCTTGAAGAGCAGGCCGTCTCTCGCCATGGCAAAGAGCACCCGTGGCATCGGAAACATCACTCCCAAAAGACTGGAAAAACCAAACCAAAACTTCAGTGGGATTAATTACAAAAATATAAATTGTTGACTCAATTTAATTAGATTGATTAATTCATGCACGTGGTATACAAATGGATCCCTACAAATAATTAAAGTGGTACTAATTTGCCTCAGCAATACAAGACAATAGATTTTTGCTTTTGTTCAGTCTCCCACCTTTAGGTTTCAGTGTGTACCCTCTAATGAAAAAAAGTGTTGGACAGCCCTGCTCTAACTGGAACGATGTTGCACGCCTTCACACAGCAGATCCACTGCTTAAAATGTACCGCAACTTTGTAAAATAAGCATGGATCCTCCTTGCTTATGTGCACATACACAAATTATTTTCACATACAAGAAGTTAGTTTTCATTTAAATAATGGCCAAGTCAATTTAGGTTGTTTCGTTTTAAAGTAAAGAAAACTAAAAGTCAACTGGAGACACTTAAATAGCAACTGAGCCTTTTACAACATGACACAAGAAAAATGCACATTACGTTTTCCTACTTAAAACTGAACGTTTGACTTCACCCTCTCCTGAAAACCTCATGTGTAAGACTCCAGATCTGTACCTTGTTGAGAGAGCACAGAGGGATCCCACAGCCACAACGTACTTTGCAGGCTCCCAGTGGATGTATTCAAAGGCCACAGGAAGAGGGCTGAGGTTGTCGAGCAGATAGTAGGGCATCATGAGAGTCAGAGCGGCCGACACGCCAAAGTAGGCCACGAAGCAGATGAGCAGGGACGCCACGATCGCAATAGGTATGGCTTTCTGCGGGTTCTTCACCTCCTCCCCTGAAAAATCATGTAGATGAGCCGAGTTCTTGCAACATATCCTGCGTAATACCACTACAGACATAAAATATTGATATATTTGACATTATGTGGCATGAACATCCTACTGTATGTAAATGGTAAAGTCTGGGTGCCTGGTCAAGTTAGATGCTGCCTATCACAGTGCACTGAGATTTGTGACAAACTGTAAAGCATTAACCCATCACTGTACCCTGTATGCAAGGGCTGGTTTACTTTCACTAACTGTACGGAGGCTCAGTCACAGGTACATTTTTATATACAAAGCCATGTTAGGGAAACTTCCATCTTATATCTGCTCCCTGATCTCACGGAAAATTGTAAGTGGCTACTGCCTGAGATCGAATGCTGTGGTTTTATTAAATGTGCCAACTGCTAGGACTGTCTTAGGGAAGACAGCTTTTAGATGCGCAGCTCCTCTGTCTTGGAATAGTCTGCAAATTAAATGGAAACTGAACAATCTGGTGCCACTAAATGTTTTTAAAGCTCGGTTGGATGCTAGTCAATCGGAAGCTATTAGTACCTGTTTATGTGGATAATTATGTAAATGATGCTGTATGATGTCCTTTTGTTGTTCTATTTATGTTTTTATGTTTCATGTGGAACTACTTGAGCAGGTCTCCCTTGAAAAAGAGATCAATGATCTCAATGGGATTTATCTGTATAAATAAAGGTTTGAAATGAAGTCTTTATTTTTTTTACAAGGTGCTTATTCATGCCAATACATAATTCTCTCGTTATTCAACCCATAAGTAGCTTTACTCATACTTATCTACTCGACATTACCTGTTGTTGCAATGCAGTCAAATCCAACAAAAGCATAGAAACAGGTTGCTGCTCCTGCAAGTGTGCCATCAACGCCAAAAGGGAAGAAACCACCAACCCCATAGTCAACCGTTTCATTTTGTGATGGGTCAAGATTCCTGTACAAAGAAAATAAACAGCTTTAATCTATTGCTTTCAGTTAGGAGGGTAAATTGTCCTCAGGCCGGAGCTAAAGCAAAATGTAAGGATTGAGGGCAATGGGTCACTCATCAAAATATTTGTTCTTAAACAAAATGAAGTCACAGAAGTACTCTGGATCTTATTACTTTGGTTTTGACACTGCCGATAAATCTTCGTACCTCTCAAGCAAAGCATTTAAAAATTACATTTGAAAAATTCAATGGCAACTATTCTATCCAGAATTAGATCTGGTTACTCTAGATAATTAATAGAAGCCACCACACTTTGCAGTTTTCAAAAAAAGGCATTTCAATTCCTACAATTCTTAGAAGCATTCCAGTATTCTGAAATTAACCGGAAGATGTCACTTTGATCTCAGTTTGATAATTTGGTTCAACAGTTTCTCTCCATCATATGGATGATGTTAACACAGTCAAAGTCTGACCATCTTCACTACTTGTTGCTGTCGTTGTGGAATAACTAGTTTTCTAACGGCATATCTTACCAGCATATTTTTACTATGATCTTACTTATGATAGTCCTGCATGACAACTCGTGTATCCTATGTATTGATAACACCTGATAGTCGGTATAAAAAAAAGAAGAAACTAAAAAAATGTGCCACTGAAGCAGTCAGTGTGTCTGGGGCTAACATTTGAAAACCTATGACCTGACGAAATGAAAGACACAAGATACATTTTTTGCAACATCTAGACAAAAAAGCCTCTGCAAACATCTGTATGGATACAGTAGATACTGGATTTCGACATTTCAAACTTAAAGATCCACCTGCTAATTTATAATGGAAGAGAAAGTCCCGATCCAAAAAAAGGACCTGTCTCTAGACCCTGGAAATCCAGACTAGAAGGTAAGATTCAGTTTTATATGTACTTTAAGCAGTGTTGGGCAAGTTACTTCCCAAATGTAATACAGTACAGTACATATTACTTATTACTGTCTTTTTTTAAGTAATAAGTGAAATTACAATATTAATGTCTCTGAAATGTAATGAGTCACACTATTTTTTATATTACTGTTGAGTTACTTTCACCAAAAATAACCACAAAAGAATGGCTAGGTTTTTAAAATGTAGTTTAGTGCAGTTCATTATCCATCCAGTGAAGGGTAATGTGTTATAGCATAACAACTGTGTAGGCCATTAAGGCTACTAACAACTTGTATTACACGGCTTAGTTGAATACTCGATTCTGATTGTAAATTCTTAACATGTGACACGTTGTTAATACAGTACAGACCACTGTCAAGGACTATAATGAAGGTTGCTAAGGAGGATCAAGAAAGAGAAAGCAAAAGAGGTTAAAAGACGGAGCACTGAACGTCAGATAAATCACCAGAAGAAGGCAGACAGGAAGTTAACAATAACAGGACACGGAATGGGCTCTGTAGTTTGTTTAGTATATGGCCGTGTGATAAGCGGGATAATGTGCAGCGAGGCGTCATTATGGGGACAAGAACACCCGACAGGCTGATCAGGGAACCCGACGCGAAGCGGAGGAATCTTGATGAGCCTGAAGGGTAAACACCAGGCTTACTAATCTACCCGCAATATTTTTTCTCTGGTGTCGGAATGTCTCGCGATGTTGGTAAATTCTTAAAAAACAAAACACCATTTAATTTCGGGTTGAAATGTGTTGTAACTGCGTTACTGAGAATTGTAACGGGTAGTATATTACCCAAATTTCATTAGTAATGCGTTACATTACTTCGTTACAGCAAAAAGCAATCCATTACTGTAACTCCGTTACTTTTATAACGCGTTGCACCCAACACTGACTTTAAGTGAGCTGATCCTTGAAGGAAAAACAGACTGATGATAATTTGAACGCCAAATGTGTAAAAGGACAAATCTTACTCCTTGAGTCGGGTTGCGTTCAGGATAGTCTTCTCACTAATGCGCCAGTTGTTGATGTCTCCAGTTACAAAGCCAGAGACGATGATAAAAATCAGCACAGTTATGTTAATTGCAGTAAAAACAATGTTCACGACGGCCGATTCCTTCACACCATAAGCAAGAATACCTGAAAAATAAAGGAAAAGCTATAAAATGTGACTGAATTCTGCGTTTTTTTATCTTTACGTAACATTACAGATATTACCAGCAAGCAGCATAATCAGCGCAGCAGCAAAGAAGTCTGGGTATGTAGCCACGCCCGGTGAGTCCATTGGTGTATGTTCTTCCAGAGTTTCAGCAATAACGTTGTGTATCAGGTCATCAAAGGTCCCAGTCCAGGCTTTGGCTACACTAGATGTTCCTGAGAAGAACCAAAAACAATAAAAGGCATCGGTTTGTCAGTGATTTACGACCAGGTAAATTATGGTAAATAATTCTTCAGGACTGCAATTTGTAATGCCGTATTTGTGTGGGATCAATGGGAAACATTCCCAACAAGTTGAACGCCTTCTTCAAGAAGTTTGCAGTATTAAAAGATACAAACATTACATCCATTCACTTGAATATATCCATTACATTTTAGTAAACTTGTTCATTAACTGTCATCAAGGTCTTATAAGAGCTTTTAGAAAGTTTAGATTATAACCTGGATGTTGACATGGAAGTTGGAAACTTATATGATAATTCTGATATGGCATGAACGCGGCAAAAATGGGAATGATGATATATGATCCATTTGCCAACCTTTGATCGTGAATATGGACACCTGTGGAAGTACATTTGTTCCAATCGATTTAATTCAAATGCCGAATAATTATGCGCAGAAAGGATGTATCTGACATTTTTGCCTCAGAATTTCATTGTTCAAAATTTCCAAAAGAAAATGTTCCGTTCGGTCACGTATTCAGAATAAAAACTTCACGTTTAAATAATATCAGTGTATACATTTAAAGTTGCTTGAATTCGATTGGCCAAATTCAGTTGCAAAACTACCATATATAAAATTCAGACTTACATCCGGGAACCCAATAAAATGCGATCGATTCTAGATCAATTCAAACCAACATCTAGCCAAATAAAGCTACGCTCATACGCTTGGTTGGTCAAGGCAGGCCGTTGGGGGAATGCAGTCAGCTTCAAACATGGAATCCCGGTTGAACATTGGTGCTTCTGTAAGTGTATATACTCTTCTATATGCCACTGTGTGTAAAGAGCTTTAGTTATAGACAATAACTGACCGAGGGCATTTCAGCCAAAGTATGATGCTACAAGATGAACAGGCAACTGCATTTTGTATGTTTATCTTGGAGATCACATGCACCGTATTGTCTGTTTAATTTACCAATCACGTATGACAGCAGCAGGTTCCAACCAGTCACAAATGCCCACACCTCTCCAACGGTCACGTAGCAATAGAGGTAAGCCGAGCCAGTCTTGGGGACCCGGGCTCCGAACTCAGCGTAACATAACCCGGCAAAGACCGAAGCCACGGCTGCCACCAGGAAGGAGATGATGATGCTGGGGCCGGACACATTCCTGGCCACCTCTCCGGACAGCACGTACACACCGGCCCCCAGCGTGCTCCCAACACCCAGACCCACCAGGTCCCATGTGGTCAGGCATCGGCAGAAGTTGGACTCCTCGCCTTCTGGCTCCAGAGGCTTCTTACGGGTCAGGCTCCGAAGGAACCGTAACACTTTGGGACCGGTAATTCTGGAACGAAAAGACCAAACCAAGGGTAAGGGTACGTTTATTATCACATTTCAACAAGAAGGAAATGATCTTAAAGATTTAATTAAATTGCAGACAGAAAATATATATATATTACCAGAGAATATAATAAGATTGTTTGTCTTAAATTCAGAATATGAGCTATTCTTTACCAAACAGTTAAAAGAGGTCTGTATGAACATCTTTAGGGTGGTGGCGGCTTAGTCTGTAGGGACTTGGCTTGGGAACTGGAAGGTCACCAGTTCAAGTCCCGGAAAGACCAAGTGCTACCGAGGTGTCCCTGAGCAAGGCACCGTTCCCTACACTGCTCCCAGGCGCCGTACAAAATGGCAGCCCACTGCTCCTAACACTAGGATGGGTCAAATGCAGAATGTAAAATGTCCCCTCTGTAGGACTATTAAGGGTTCCTTCTTCTTTTCTTTCTTCTCTTTCTTTATTTGCTGATAGATTGTTGTGTGTTTTTTTTTTTTAAAGTGATATTTGATATACTTTATTAATCCCTCATGGGGAAATAGTTTCTCTGCATTTGACCCATCCTAGTGTTAGGAGCAGTGTGCTGCCATTTTGAACGGCGCCCGGGGAGCAGTGTAGGGAACGGTGCCTTGCTCAGGGACACCTCGGTTGCACTTGGTCTTGCTGGGACTTGAACTGGTGACCTTCCAGTTGCCAAGCCAAGTCCCTATCGACTTCGCCACCACAGCCCAAAATGACTGTAATGTAGTTTATTATTGGCAGCTGCAATTGACTGACTGCTTTTGAGTAATAATTATTTTGAGTAATAATTCTGTCTTCTCCCTGCTCTTTTCCATCATGGGCTATACAAACTGCTCAAAGCTTATTTAAAATAAAAAGTTTGCTGGAAAGTGGAACAAAAGAAAAAACAACAAAAGAAAACCTTAAAAGCAATTATAAAAAAGGACATTTAAAAATACAAAATTTGTTTTAATTCAAGACAACGAAAAATATTTAAACAAGCTCAACGATAAAGATACTCAAATAATTAAGTGTGTAAAATTGTATTTTTCGGTAAGTTAATACCCTATACCTAGCTAAAACACTATAGGCTATTTGAAAGAACAACTCAAGGCAAGGCAAGTTTATTTATATAGCACTTTTCAATACAAGGCAATTCAAAGTGCTTTACAAAAAATGAAAGACATTATACACATCAGTATAAACTAGACAAGTAATACACAGTTTAAGTTGACATAAAGATCCAGAAAGCCTGTAGACATTGTTAACCGACGTAGAGTGATGTGATGAAACCTTACCTGCCAGCCATTTCCAAGCCGGTGTGTTCAGACTGCAGTGGACATTGGGAGAAACAGCGTGTGTAGCCTGCTCCTGCTGTATGATCAGAGGCACTTCCTCCAGACTGCCACCTGAAGCCCGGCAAAGGGACACACCTGAAATCAATCAGGCAATCAGTGAGGAGGCCCCCTGCAGGGCTGGGAGAGTGACTCAAAAAATGCTTTTCCCGCTTTGTTTGTGACTTTTTTTTATCAAGGTTACTTTAGTTTTGTAGGGGATATTTCGGTCCTTTGGTCCCTTTGTGTTTTTAGTTGTTTTTGACCAGTGCTCACATAGTTTGATCTCAATGTTATAAATAAATACAAGTATTTTGTAAAGTCTCTCGGGTTTTGCATTTCACTTATATGTTACAAAGGTTATATTTTGACTTGTGGTATATCAATAATTTTATTTTACACATTGTACATTATTCACTATTGTTATGTGTCTTTTCCGCACACACAACATGTAATTCAAATCCTGTGGGAAATGTCCTTACTTTTTTCTTTTCCTGCCGTTTCTTCCTTTCAATTGCCTCCAGATGAAGGTTTAAGAACTTTACTTAATTGCATTGATGAAGGTATGAATATCGAGACACCCTTTACTTCTTATAGCATATGTGAGGGAATACAAATAACACAAGAGTCCCAACCTCCTTACACTGTTAGAGAATACAAAAAAGGCAGCAACATATTTCAACTTATAACTAACTTGACTGATTAAAACATCAGAGTCAGCTCTTCAGTTATGATGAAAAACATTTCCAGCCTGTAATACGCACATAATGCCACAAGATGGCAGCAGGAGTGTTCTGAATAAATGCAGGGCTGTGTCCATACACCCCTCTCTCCTCTCATCTCTCAATCGATGACATAATCCTTCCAGCAATGAAATAAGGGAATTCTGTTTGAAATCAAGGAAGATAAGGAAAGCAATATGTCTTCGTATGAAAACGAGTCAGAGGGTGGTGGCCAATTTGCATTTTTGGCCTTAACCATTTCAATAATGATTATCAGTTAATTGTATTAAAGTAATCCTACATTTTCCCTCGTTGGCTCTTTTCGTTGGATTTTTTTTGATAAATGGCTTCTTGCTCTGTGCCATTTATTATTTAACATGCTTATTTGACTAAAACAAATCACATTACCAAAAATATATTCACTCTCTACCGTACCCACCTCCCACATTGGTCTGTGTGTGTTAGTAGTTGTAGTAATGGTGAATGTGGGGATGGCCCGATGCCAGCAGTGTGTGCATGTGAGTGTGGCTGTAAAGTTGTTCTCTACACTATCTTGCCGCTCTAATAGAGTGGTAATTGTTAGCAGCCTGTCGAAGCAATTTCTTAACCTCATCTTGGCAGCGGGGTGGGAAATCAATGCTGTGTGTCATTGTTCTCACCGCTATACAACATCACACCTATGTGTGTGTGTCTGCATCTGTGTGCACCATGCAAGCTTGACACATCAGAATTTAAGGCTGGTCTCCATGGAAACCCCTTATCCTGGAACAATTTCCCGTTTGGCAAACGTTTGCCTGGGTGGGGTGGTCCTCAGTGAGGAGGCTGCTACTGTACACAAATGACGAAAATGCTTACTGTAATTATCAGCCGGATGAAACTGACCTTTCCTTAAAGGTCACCTATTATGCTATATTTGAACAATATATTTGTGATGGAGACTTCTGAAGCAATGGAGACAGGACTCAGAGAGACACGAGGAGAGCAGGAACGCAGGAACTGTGATGGCAAACACTGATGGTTTATTTGGAGCTTGGGCCGGAGAATTCACAAGTTATGTCGTTTCCAAACCAATTCTGAAGATCTCTACCCCAGACCGATGTATTTAGCTGGTTCTGAGAGAATAATCAACATGCTGCATAACAAGATAAGACAGGCAAAGCACAATAACACCTCTATCAGCTGACGCCAACAGGCAAGAACAGGAAGACAAAACACAGAGAGCACAGCACCCAAGGCTAGAGGTGCCTGAGCTCAGTGAAGTCATTACAAACTGATAAACTGGGTCAAAGTTATGGGCCTTGGAAAATATTTTCCCAACATATTATGGGGCCATATCTATACAAAACATGTCTCTGCAGTGTTTTGCTCAAAAATACCAAACAGATCACCCATTACAGCCATGCCTCATACACCTCTATTTCAGCCCTGTTACTAAAGGGCTGATTCTGGGTCTATCTTTGGAGCTGCTGCTGGCCACGCCCCTTTGGAGCTGATGCTGGCCACGCCCCTATGGGGCGGCGCATGCAGGCATTGAGCTCCGTGAAGAGAAGGCTATCTACCAGCAGAAACTCTGCTAAATGCTGCTGTGATTAAACGCCATATTATGTTCCAAACCACATCAAGAATTATTTCTGACAGTATGGAGCTCAAATGCTTTCCCTCTCCCGGGTTTATCACAATGACAGTACCTTTTATATACGGCTTCTCTACACATATTTTCTCCATTACAGCGTTACAGTCCGGCAGTGGCTCAGTCAGTAGGGGCTTGGACTGTGAGCCGTAGGGTCGCCGGTTCAAGTCCCCGACCAGACCTAAATATGCTGCTACCGACCAGACCTAAATATGGAGTGTGGACTGCTACTTGGAGAGGTCCCAGTTCACCTCCTGCCCTGCCTTGGTGCCCTTGAGCAAGGCACCAGACAACCCCTTCCCCCCTCACTCCCATTGCTCCCCGGGTGCTGTACAATAGCTGCCCACTGCTCCTGGTACTAGGATGGGTTAAATGCAGAGGCCACATTTCACTGTGTGTGCTGTGTGCTCTGCATGTGTGACCATTAAAGAGGGTTTCATCCCTCCCAATTCTAGCTCTGAGTGTTAGTGATGCTTGCTAATGTAAACACAGACCATATTACTTCTAAAACACGTCGCACATTGTTTCTGATACATCACATAGCTTGACATGTTCTTTCTACAGTGTTTACTGCTAGAACAGTGACATTGTATGTATTATATATATATATATAACGACTTTACTCTAAGTCCCTGCTGTAGACATCCTGCTGAATACACAGACACACAGCTGCAGGAGGGGATTCAGCTACCGACTGTACATGGGGGACGATAGGTTGGGCTGTGGGCGGGACGTTGCCAGGAGGAGGAGCCCACATTTTAGTAATGACCTCATGAACGCAGCAAAACTGGAACAGCTCCGTTGTACCCCCATTTTTAGAGATGTGGGTAAGGAGGAAAAGAGAGAGGGTTGTATTTTCTGACATTTTCTCCTTACACATCGGGGACACATTTATGAATAAAATACATACAAAAACGCATTTGTATAATAGGTGACATTTAAATATTAAACAGGCAGCTTCAATCATTTCTTAAAGGTTTTACAGAATTCAGTTTGATTTTTCCCTAAGTCCTATGCCACTGATTATTTATTGATCATTAGTAGAAAGCACTTAAGATAAATTGATTTCAAAAGCATCATACCAGCATGTTACCAAAATACTTTTTGTGATAGCAAAAGTTCCTTATAATTATTACAAATATGGAACATTATGGATTCCATATTTATATTTTGTGTACATTTTTCTTTTTTTATGTTAAAAAGTTTCTACATTACTTTTCATATAAGGTCTATTTTAGCACATTTAGATACAACTTATATTATGGCCCCTAGTATGCTTGTTGGGGTTTGTACTTTCCTGTAGTGTGTTGTAGGTTTTTGTGCATGTAAATGGTCTGCAGAGGCTCAAATCCTAAAGTTCCCTCAAGAAGAGGTTCTGTATAAATATAATTTTGAAACAGAAAAAATAAATAAATCAATTAAGGTAAAAGAACACTTTCATTTAGAATTATGATGGTTTGAATTCATCCAGAGACAATGGAACTTGTGTTCGCCTTTCATAATGTAGAGCCGTTCATCTACTTCTACTATTCGCAAGGCGTGTGTGTGTGTGTGTGTGTGTGTGTGTGTGTGTGTGTGTGTGTGATGATAGAGAGTGTGTGTGGTGTGTGTGGTGTGGTGTGTGTGTGTGTGTGTGTGTGATGATAGAGAGTGTGTGTGTGTGTGAGTGTGTGTGTGTGTGTGTGTGTGTGTGTGTGTGTGTGTGTGTGTGTGTGTGTGTGTGTGTGTGTGATGATAGAGTGTGTGTGTGTGTGTGTGTGTGTGTGTGTGTGTGTGTGTGTGTGTGTGTGTGTGTGTGTGTGTGTGTGTGTGTGTGTGTGTGTGTGTGTGTGTGAGAGAGAGAGAGAGAGTGTGTGTGTGTGTGTGTGTGTGTGTGTGTGTGTGTGTGTGTGTGTGTGTGTGTATGTGTGAGTGTGTGTGTGTGTGCTCCCATGACAGCATGTTTGACTTGTAGTGGTTCTCTGTATGTGTATTGCTAAATTCTACCATTTGTCACTCCACTCATTAAAATCTAGCAAAGTGTAGAAGAGCTGTTTTGTCAAGGTTGTATCAGGTGACCTGCAGGAAGAAATATTGTTAAGTGTTTACACTGAATACAACTTGTGTACTTCAGTAACATTTCACATTTTTTGTAATAATATGAAGGATATTCTGTGAGTAAAATTACTTGGGTCTGTTATTCCTTTTCTACCTTTGCGGCTATGGCTCAGGAGGTAGAGCAGTCGTGCACCAATTGGAAGGACGGTAATTTGTTCCCAAGCCCCTGCAGTTGGGCAAGAACCCTTAATTGCTCTCAATGGAATGGCCACCGGTGTGTCAGTATGTGTGAATGTTCATTTTCCTGAGCAGGTGACACCTTGTACGGTGTCTGCCTCTTTATCAATGTGTGTGAATGCTGACTTGTGTAGAAGCACTGGGGCGACTGGGACTGGGAAGGCTCCATATATATGTGATTGTTGTGCAGGTTCAGAACTGCTGGTACAACCTCTCCATAGTAGGATGATATTTTTAGAATAACAGACTGCTTTAGTTATGCATAAAGCAAAAAAACAGAATACTGCCAGAAAATACACAAACACATTTGTTTTAAATTTCAGAGGATGAGCATTATAGGAGGACATTTCACTTTAAGCATCAGTTTACACGGACTACTTTAAAACAGATGTGTGTCTCAGT